TGTTTGTTCCTTCTCTTGTTTGTCGCTGTGGTTGTTGTGGAACTTGTGTTCGTTCCTGTCACTGTCCATCTTTTACAGGTTGATTCGTCGGTTGTTCAGTAACTTCGGTGCAGTTCTTTGTCGTTGGCGTCGAAGTTCGTTTCAATTCACCCCTTCTGCGGATTTCATTCGGTCTCCACAACATGTCTGACCCTCGAGGCAATGACGGGAAGGGCCCCGCGGAGTCCTCCTCGGCAACTGGGAAAAGGGAGGAGGGTAGTAGAAAAGGTCACAAGACAAAGACCTTTGACTCCCCTTTTAAGGTGGATCCAAAGGCGGATGGAAAACGAGATGATCCTGTTTGGCATTTCGTTGCTCGTGGTMGTTATTTAGATGGATCCACTGCGATCGGGAGGAAGAACGGTCGCCGTTGTTTGTGCAGGTTATGCGGTCGTTCTCTATGTGGGGGTGCTCGTGAGGCGAAGRMACACTTTTTTCGTGCCGAGGAGTATAGATGCCACGTAGCCACTGCGGCGGTGTGGCACGCGATTTGGTCAAAGGATATGTCCAAGTGTCCTGCACATTTGGCTTCTGCCGTGCAGGCCTTGCAGAGTCTCCCTCTAGGTCATCCCTCTTTTCAATGGCCACYTCTTCGTTTTCCCGATAACGTCGTTCCGTCGACCGCTGCCGCCTCGCAAGTGGCGCCATCTCCATGTGCACCACTTGCACCCCTCCCCCCTCGTCCGCTTCGTCAGACGATTCCCGCATCCGTTGATGGCAAACCATCTGTGGCAACGCAGCCTGATGCGCAAGGCACCGTGCCAGTTTCAGGTGTCGGGGAACCTGTGYCGTTCGACGAGCAAGGCACTCGTGCTTTCGTCGAGGGCGGTGGGTGGGGGAAGGACGCTGACACATCATCAGGCGTCGCCCCGTTGTTCACTGGCAACAGGGACAAGGTCCCAAAAGTTCGACGCACAGACACACGTCCGGCCGTGGCAGGAGCACCCGCAATAGGACATCAATCCGCTGCGTATCCATGGTTGCCTCCCCCTCCTTCGCAGACACGACGGCCTACACCAGACTTGACTTCGGCACCTGTTGGCGAGGGCACTGCAACGGCCACTGAGGGTGCGGGAAACGTCCAGCTCGACGAGCCCGTCCAGGTTTCGGATTCGTCACCCACTCCTGTGCCCGTGAACGGCCCGACCTCGCAGCACGGTGTTTTTGGGACACTGGATCCTTTACAGAATCTGCGCAACATTGCAGCTCCGASTCCAGGCCCCACCGCATCACCTGCGGCCGGGGGCGGGGTGTGGGATTCGCTAGGTATGGGCGCCGGTGCACGAGTGAGGGGCACTTACAGGCAGCAGGCGGTGACCTCGTATTACAACGACCCGCTGGAGCACGCATGGCACCTGCAGATCATGCGATTCATTGTCGAGAGCGGCATGCCGTTCAACTGTGTGAAGCTTGAGAGCTTCAAACGCATGTTGACGTTGATCATCCCGCCTGGGGTTCCAGGAGTCCGTACCCCAAAACCCCCAACGTATCACATGATCCGTACCACACTTTTGGATGAGCTTGATGTGGAAGTCCAAAAGTGTGTGAAACCTGTCCTCGCTACTGCAGCTACCTACGGTTGCACGATAATGASAGACGGTTGGACGAACATTCGGGGCCTGTTGTCATCGAGCGTGGATCGGACGGGTTTGACGTGGCAGGARGCSATATCGCCAATATGATTACGAGCCCAATGGTATCTGCCACGCCCACAATTTTTCGTGTTGGCAAACTACGTGAGGTGGCCCTTGGTTTGGCGGAGACGGCGACGCGACACCGCCGCGACGGTCAGCGCAGCATCGCACAACGCAGTTTTTCTCATTCGTTTGACGGCGCASAGGAAGGGTCTCATGGTGGGCCAGTTGACACACTTGAAAGAGAAGCAAGACCCCCAAGTCCGCCGTCAAAC